GCAGTGGGAGCTGACTTGTAATCTTTGGTCGTATCTTTTCTTTCATGGATTGCTACACCAACGATACCGACGATGTTGTTTCTGGTATATCGCTTATGCTCTTCGCCATCTTGACTTTCGTATGTAACGTGCGAGATTCGACTCTTGAGTTTCGATATTTTCTGCAGGCCAGTAGTGTTGTATCCGTTGGCGGTCTGCACTCGATATTTTGCCGCTTTTTTGGGCCCATATCGAACCAGCAATACGAGTGATCGTCCTAGACGGCTCCAGGCGTCGGGTTCTCCATTTTGATCTCGACCAATTGACAGCTTTTTGAGGTCAACCAGGACCTCATCTTCTAACTGATCATTGACATTTACTGGGGAAAAGGGTTCTGAGTCATATTCTTCCATATCTGTGTCGTGTTGTTCAACTGGAGCAGCTCCACTTGCACCGCCCGTGCCAGGCTGTCCATCTTGAGAATTATACTGTGGCTTTGACTGTGGTTGAATCGGTTGACTTTTATCAGGGGTGACCGTCTCAGCATTTTCACCGGACTTTTGCCCGTGGTACGATGCTTGTGCGTCCGCAGCATTGGCCTTCGCTTTGGGTATCTTTCCCTCAGCAAGACTTTGGAGCCTTGACACATTATACTCCTTTGTCGGTTGGTCTCTTGTGCTGCGCGACTTTGCGACTCCATTGTTCTCTGAGTTTGAGGAAGACATGGCTCGGTATAAACATGATCTTGTCACGGACGAGAGAGTTGCGCTTACTTATAGTCTCTTATCCCTGAAAAGCATATCCATATTTAAAATTCTCTTTTTCTTAGAGAATGCCGTCCGCAGAAAGCGAAGGTTCGTACCGCTTCTACACAATTCTTACGTTCTACCCGACGCATTTTACTGAGGGGCGCATTTCATTAAGCCAATCAAGAGACGTCAGACAATTGATTTTTCAGTGAGGGATCTGATGCTGCTGCTATAATGTAGCGGTCTACAAGTTTTGACCCAAACAAGAGGATGGTGAATGACATAGTACAAATAGGAATTCAAAGCAAACGACGGTCTGTCCAAACGCAACTTGGTGCCTAGTTTCAATTCTACCTTCCTCAATATTTGCCTAGCCTGAATTTTATCCTGTTTTCTTTCCGTTGCGCAAATCGCATTTACGGTTTATAGTGGCTTCAATTGCTTAACAACATGGGACTTGATGTACAGCACAGGATGAATCAAATCAGTTTCACCACTTTGCTGTCGTAGGTTCTTTCTCCAACCCTCTTCTGAAACGAGCTAATCCTCTTTAGAATTGGCTCTGTTTCAAGTATTGAATCGTATTGAAAAGCATGATCTCACGTTGACGTGGTTATAGATTACATGTAATATACCCGCCAAGAATACTGGCATATCGCGGCCCTAGGCTCGCTCATTGATGACTACTTGCTCTCAATTTTTAGCAGTAGTGTTGATTGGAGTGGCAAGGCCAATCCCTGTCAGACAGGTGAATCAGTCTAATGTGCATACTCGAATATGTAGTCATTGTATACTGCATTTGCTTTGGCTAGTCTGTACGAAACGTCGTTTCGGCAAGTACATGACTCACAAGATTTCATGTACATGTATTCTTTCTGCTTGTCGCGACTAGTCACCCTCAATTATTTTGAACATGTCATCTGCTGCATTGTCTTCTTCAACTTCATCGTCAGTGTCTCCGCGATCAGACCAGCACTGCAAATTCCCCAATTGCTCGTCGCTAAATGTGGCCCACTCTTCATTGTTGAGATCTTCCCCATCTGGGGATACATCAAACACCGCTTGAATTAGAACCGTGCTTCTGTGTTCTGGACCGGTAGACTGACGCGGAAGGGCATCTCCAAGTCTCGATAGGTCAAAGTTTTGCTCACCCAGTATCGCACGATTGAATTTAAGATCATACTACTTGAAAGCTGGAACTATGTACGATCTCCTTATACCAATTAGCATTTTTAATCAGGTCGTCCCATGCCCAGCTTCTAATGACTTCTGCTTCTGTAACTTCCCAAAGGCAAAGATAATGATTTATGTAATAGAGTGTCTGTTCGTAAGGATTGCATATTCCATAATGTGACATCTCTGCGGCCATTTCAAAGATGGGTAATCGATTTCTCACTCGGACGGTTGGATTGATCACAGTCAAAGTTTGCATGCCTCTTCTTTCAGTTCTCATTTCTGCAAGATCCCCACTGGCTGATGCATCTGTTGTGAAAGAGATAAAGGGCGTTGGGTCCCAAATACGGTGGTTTGCATGTCTTCAGTGCTTCTGTCCGTGATTCCCACGTGCTCAATGGTGGGCAAGGGTCATGATAACATGTAGCTCGACTTTTCAGGTTGGCTTCCAGAATAAATATCCCATATCCGGAGGAACGGCCGATCAAAGGACGGACCGCGCCACTCCTTCCAGGGTCGTCGAGATTCTTCGTCTTCGGTGATGGAAGGTCGCAAGAGATTCAAGCAGAAGAAGAAGGTCAGAGGTGAGACTAACATGATGACAATCCGGCACTTTCTGCACATAAAATGCCATGCGTTTATAGCTAGATATTGACACTCGTGCGCCTGTGTGCCTGGTGGTATGTATCTTTATTTCATTTTCTTGAACATGGTGATCACTACATGACAAACTTCTCCCAACCATAGCGCGTAAGATTGACTTTCCCTGGGGATGGTGAGGTCATAAGGCATCTCCGCCAATCAAAAACCTTGTCAGAACAAAGAGCTTTGATCCTTGGCCGACGATATAACTCCGTGCGTTTGACTTGTTTTCCCTTAATCGAAACTCTGGAGACCATAGTAGAGGCCTACAGTAATACTGAGGGTTTGACATGCTGTTTCTTACAAATATATTAGGATACTACCGAGAAATGGGTTCAGGAGAAGAGCAACCGCATGAGGTATACCTAGCCTGTTTCAGGACAGGGTATGAGAAAGAATCTCTGTGTGCAAGTGGTTAAATCGATTTCGATCCGACCTGTATATATAAATAGTATACTGTACTGTGCCTACAGAGGCGCTCGAAATCAGTTTCACCAACTTGTTCTCCTTCATTGCTTCTCAGCATCTATTTTTACTAACGCTAGGCCTAGAATAGCTAGTGGACTTTGACTACCCTTTTCCTATTGGACAGCTTTTGATGGGCTAGTCCGCATGTAGGCTGAGGTGGGTCTGGCCAAGACTCAAGAAAGAACCGAAGAGAATAACATGGTGAAACTAATTTCGAGCGCACCTGTACGATGTCGAAATCTTGATGTTTTGATTTTTCATCAGATGCATGTCTAGTTACACATGCAGTTACAGCATGATGCTTTCAATATATCCTAGATCTAACAACTTGGGGCATCACAATAAAAAGATTCCATCCCCTTGGTACTACTCTATGGCCTGGTATAGCTTTAACGACTTCAGTGAAAGCTCTGTATCATTTTGAATGAGGTGTTTGGTTTTATTGCATGATTGTAACTCGTGAACACAGGGTTCTGACAGCGATTCTTGTATGTAGTCATACACGACACTTATGCTTCTACTGGATATCTTCAGAGAATGTCCAGTGGTACCATTATAAACCGCATCGACTGGGGGCTATCACAGACCTCGTGGGCAGTTGCCTCTGGCATCTGGGAGGTTCGAGTCGTGTCTGTAAATTTGAAAGCTTCGCGAGCCGAGAAACTAGGTTCCACTTGGAAGAACTCCTCGCAGGCTGACTGAGCGTGGCGTGCCTGGTCAACAAAAGCGTGTACTGAGGTTCGTAGCTCCTGTGCCACATGGTGGACGGAGGAGAACTCGTCTTCAAATGAAGCTGAAGCACCGGATTGATGGAGGCGTAGGAGATCCTCACGCGCCTCATCGGCTTTGTCCTGGAGGTGCTTGAAAAGAGCGTAGCATGTTCGAAGATAAATGTTTTCTCCTTGCTGTCGGCCGATTTGTCGAACAATATCGGCGATTTCTTCCATAGTATAGTAGCGTGATAGCCTTTTGCTGCAGGGGAGATGTAACAATAATCTTTGGCGAGCGTGGTGAATCTATAAAGCAAGCTTTACTGGCTAATATTGCATTGTCTGATATAGAGGTCGCGGGTAGTCTATTCTTGACTAAGGCCGGTCGAACAACGTAACACCATCATAAAATCCCCATTATCGGGCTATTCAAGAATCATTTATTTTGAATATTGGGTAGACCTTTCAATGTGTGCTTTCGCGAAGCGATGGCCGGGCGAAAGCATTTGGTTACGGCATAGCTTAGATGCTCGACCGCCTTGATATTGAGGGTGGCAAAAGCCGGCGGCACTGAATGGCTCTAACCGGACGCATCAGATCCGATAGTAATTGGCGTTTTAAATTGCGGAATTTTGAAAACTCCAGGAGCCAGCTAGAGCATACCGCCAGGTGAAGAACGCCATCCCGAGACTGAGGAAATGTGGTTCCTAACCCAGCTCGGGCCCGATTGTCAGACATAGATGCAGTAACTGTGGAGTTACTGAAGCATGTGCTTTCTGAACCCGGTTTTTTCTTCATATAAATAAGGGCACTAACCTCATATTTTGCCTGAGGAAACCGTTTATCACCCTCTCTAAATCACTCTCCTCAAATCATCCTCTCTAAACCACCCTCTCAAAACCACCCTCTCTAAATCACCCTCTCTAAATCACCCTCTCTAAATCACCCTCTCTAAATCACCCTCTCTAAATCACCCTCTCTAAATCACCCTCTCTAAATCACCCTCTCTAAATCACCCTCTCTAAATCACCCTCTCTAAATCACCCTCTCTAAATCACCCTCTCTAGGCTACCCACCTGGCCTAGTCCCGTCAATAATAATATACACTCCTTTACCATCAATTATCAAGCCATAGTTCGATAGACGGGAAACTGACAGCCTGCTTCACCATTTCCATTCGTAATTCGCAGTCAAATAGTCCGGCTAGACCCATGAGAATACACGAAACTGTCCAATCGATCGACAATTCGAGTGCAATGGTCGACCCTGACGCTCAGTCCATGCGCGACTGTATAGTCCTCTCCATCATTAATGTCTTTGGACTTTTTTACTTTTACCTCTTTACGATCCATTTCATACTCTTCCACTTCCCCTCATCCCCGGCAGAGATCTTAGTCTCGATGTCGGTGCTCGTCTTCTGCGCGGGTGTCATCGTCTGGTACTTTTTAAGTCTCGTCTATCGTATGCTACATACGTTCCAAGGCAATGATGCGGGGAATTTGCAGAAGCTAGAGTTTGGAGGCGCTCTCATTCTGATCTGGACGGCCACCATTCCCTCGGCGGTGTTGCTGTTGCGCAACCAACCTTCTCTTCAGCTTGGGTACCTCTCTGCTTTCACCATCGTTGCGGTCGGGACTCTGGTAGACCTTCTGGTCTGGGACTCCAGCATCCATACATCTCGGTACAGATTCCCGTATAACTGTGTTTCATTGGGCCTGCTCTCCCTGATACCCTCTATCCATGCCCTGACCGGGACATTCGAAAGCCCCCCCTCACTGGCGATACACTTTGGCCGAGTCGCCATGTGGAACTCCCTTGGCACTGCCTTCTACCTGCTTCGACCATTGGAGAGGGTAGGCGGGGTGAACGGCTGGCGGCCCAGCCTCTACGTGATGCACCTAGTCCTGGCGTACAGCACAGTTTCTTATTCGAGGGTCATCTTGCATACAGTGCTTGAACATGCAGCCTAGACTTCACTGTTTTCAATTGTGTCGAAGCCCGTCATAGAAAGAATTCTGCATGCCTGCAGGCCAGAATGAATAAACCGCCTATTGATACGAAGATGGGATGGGTGCTCCCGGCCAAAGCGCCTAGTGACAGTATTTATTTTTGAGTCGACTTGATGCTGAGCACGATATATTTCAG